CAACCCAATGTTGCAGTGCTCCTTCTACTCTGTGAGAGTGTTGGCTTAAGATGCAGGCCAAGGGCAGATTTGCAGCTTCAACCATGTTGCAAAATTCAAATTTACTTTTTTTATATAGACAGTGTTTGTTGGCTATCATCATGGAAATAGGTGCTGGGAAAATACAAATGGTAGTACAGCTTCAGTGAAAGAAATGTGCAGCACATTCTTGTGTTCATCAAAGATAAACATGCACAGGGGTGCTGTGGTGAACCAAGTTGTTGAGTGAGGGAGGTCCATTTGTGAAAATAATTATTGATCACGAACTATCAATTATATATTTTTTCTGAAGAAAGGTCTAGGCCCAAAACATCTGCTTTCCTGCTCCTCTGATGCTGCTTGGCCTGCTGTGTTCATCCAGCTCTACACTTTGTTATCATCAATTATACCTCCCTGCTTGAACATAATCGCAGAAATGACATTCATATTTATTAGAAATGTATTCTCAGGATTGTCACAGTGCTGATAAGGCTACTATTGTTTGTGATCCCTCTAGTTGCGCCACTGAATGACTGAATAAGCCACTTCAGAACACTGAAGACAGTTAAAGAGTCAAGCACACTGGGTCTAGAGTCACATAACAAAACTAGTGTATATAGCCCACCTTCCATCATTTATCGTCCACGAAAGACTCCTTCCACCTCACTCTTTATAGGTTTGTTTGTGTAATTTGCATCACTGGCTGCTCCAGCATTTATTACCTGCCCCTAATGGCCCTTGAGAAGGTGGTGGTGAGCTGTCTCCTTGAACCACTGCTATCCATGGTTGGGGAACGTTGGCAGGTGTTCCAGCAATGTGACCCAGCAATAGTGGACATAGCAGTATAGATCCAAGTCTGGATGGTTTGTGGCTTGGAAAGGAATTTGCAAGTGGTGGTGTTCCCATAGAACTGGTGAGTTTGCCCTTCACGGTTTTCTTTATCTAAACCTATCAACATGATCTTCTATTCCTTTCTTCCTCGAATGTTTATCTAGTCACCCCTTAAATGCATCTATGTAATTTGTTTCAACTGTTGCTTTTCATTTAATTCTTTCATATGGTGTGAGCATTGCTGGCAGTTAGCATTTGATGCTCATCCATAATTGCTGTTGAAGGTGATAAGTTCTTGCTACACTCGGATAAAGAAATTTCTCCAGAGTTCCATTTTTAACTTATTAATGACTATCTTATTATCATAGCTTCTAATTTTGGGAGTGGGTACCTTTTGATTGTGCTTGTCTTATGAAACCTTTTCAATATCTTAATGTGACCATTAACTTCCTTTCCATGACTGTTACCGTGAGCAACTCGTGTTACACTCTCTGCAGTGTCTGTAGAATTCCTCTGTGTGCTGCTGGTGCTGAGTAGCACAGTGAACAAAGTAAATGCTGCAGATATCTTTCCCTTTTTAGATATTTTCTAATCAACATGTTGAGAAGCAACTCCGGGCCAAGTGCAACTTGAACTCAGGCTCCTGGCTCAGAGGTGGGGACACTACCAGTGCATCACAAGACCCTCAGCTTTCCCCTTTTAAAGGATTTCCCCATTCAAAGAGAAGCTGCACTAATTAATTGCAGGCTGCTGGATAATCACCAGGGATCAGGAAAGATGTTGCATCAAGTCAGAGAAAGGACTCCCAGCTTCAGCGACGTCACCTTGGAAGCACGTGGAAGCAGTGAGACAATTGCAGTCCAAGAGAAATGCCACATTTCCACTGATCCACAGATAGCCTTCAAAGCACACTTTCAGAAGAGTATGGGAGCAGGCAAACAAGGGCATTCACCCAGATTGGCACACTGACAGCATGGCAGTAGTGCAGAAAAATGTTCCAGGACCTCACTCGGCTGGTTAAAGTCAGTGACTACATGCAAGTCACATCTCTGACCCACTACAGCACCTGCCTCTCACACTGTTCAATGCACCACATCTTCACCATTCACCCAGCAGCATACTCAGACACTCAGGAGCCATCCTTAAGGTTCTTAGACCACACCAGATAGACACACACACACACACTTTCCAATTGTGCTAACTGTGCACACAATTTTACTTAAGGTCTGTAAACCTATAGTTATGCAGCAAAGAATGGCACATCACCCAGCCACATTAACTCACAGTCACTGACATTCAGACCTCTATCTTACAGTTGAGGATGGAACACAACAGGCTAGAAAGCCAGAGGACCTGCAGGTAACCAACATGCATCCATCTGCTCAGCGCCCCAGAGAAGATGACCCATAGATAATGAGCACCAATGCTACAGAACCAGTGTCTCCCAGTGCTGCCAGGGTCTTCAAAGATGAAGGTAAGATGCTGCCTTGAGCACCTCTTCTACTCAGCCTTCATCCTGAAATATGCTATGAAACTGCAGATGGTGGTACTGGGACTTTCTTTTCTACCATCCACTTACCTAACTAACACTTATTGCTTTTGGGATTTTAGATAGTCAGGAACTGTTTGCTCAATCTCCAAAGAGCAATGAGGAAGAGGGAGAGTAACTTTACGGAGCTCAAGAAGGGGTACCATCACCTGACCTTGCACTTGAAGCCACCAGCTCAGCTACTAACACTGCAGGGATATCAGTGCTAATGACAATGCATGTCGAGATACTTGGTGCATCACCAGATAGCCTCCCGTTACTGACTAGAAGCATTAAGGAATCCAGCTCTACTGAGGCACAGGACAGTTTCCAGAACTTGGAGCCCAGTCTTTTCACTCTGGAAGAAGTAGGCACGTCTGTGGAAGCATTATTTGACCAACCCACAATGGAACATCTTCTGACTGGTGTCTCAGCTTCCACAGCACAGGACAGGGGCCTCCTGATGTCTCACAACTGCAGTGGCAGTTCAGACCAAGGTCTTAAGATCCCTGGTTACTGCCAGCTGCCATTGTGTGTATGGCTCTCAATGCTCGACAAAGCATGTGGTCTTTCACTACATTCTTGAAATGTGTGCTGCAGAAGATTACTACAACAGCTGAAGCCTGGAAGATTGGCACTACGCAACATGATCCTGCTATCCTCTCTCAGGATGACAACATTTATGCTCCCATCACTCCCACACCACAAGGACCCTTGTTGTTGTCGCCCAGACTACTGAGCCAGGCCAGTCCATGGACAGTCTGATAGTGGATGAACAGTGATAGGTTCCTGTTGGATAACAATGTTCGTTTTAACTAAAATGAGGCTTCACAATGCTGTAATATTGACTGCATCTAGTTGCTTATGTTAGATAAAGTCTACTACCTTCTACTTCTGTCTTCTCTTACCTCTGAGGTGGCTTATGGATTACACGAGATAGTGTCTGGACCATAATTGCAAGGTTGTAGAGGATGCTGCACATAACCACAAACATGGAGACCCACTTGAATGAGTACCATGGAGATTCTCTCCCCCACCCCATCCCACTGCTGCCACACGCAGTGAAACCATTGCTTTAGGAGGCTGATGGCTCACTTCATGGTATTATGAGTGGTTCCATGTCTTTCACTGAAAACTATCTGAGCTAATGTTGCAATGAGAGAAAGAGGATTGTCAGTTAAGTTCTGAGACAGTAGCCCTTATTGCCCAGCTGCCACCTTTGGAGGTCTTAAGATGGAAGCTGTTGCTGACTGGTGCAGGATAAATTCACTACGGCTGCAGTCAGGATAGCAGGCATAGACTGAGATGGTTTTTTGACATGGTTGCACATTAACTGAGCAGTGGTCTTTGAGGTTCTTATATATTTCCCTGTTGATGTTGGGTATCCACACAGTTAATAAGCCTGTCTTATCTGACTGCTGGCTCCTACAGCACAAATTCATCGCATTTTAGTCCCTCCACCCTCACCACACACTCTGTAGTCACCAGTTCTCCCTCTCACACATTTCAATTAGGCCCACTCTCCATGCACAGATTGTAACAGCTTCTCTCTTGCCTAGCTCATACGCACATTGTAATCAGTGCAAACATGTTTCCCCATGTTTCCACTACAATGGGGTGTAATAAATTCAGCTCAATTAACTAGCCTTTCTCTCACATCTCACTGCATCCGTCAAACCCCACCAAACTGTCCACACTGGTAGACTTGCTGCAATAGCCATTTTTATGTAGAATTTAAAGATTTCATAGAGAGCATGGGGCTTTATTCTGAAGAGCCCTCTCTATTACCTGCTGTTTCCTTCTTGAAGTGGAGAGTGAGCCCATTCTCTGGTCATTAATGGGTCAGTCTGGGGAAACAGTAATAGTTCTGAATCAATCCCCACCTCAAGCTGAGGTAAACCTGTGACTTGCCTTGTTTCTCGTGCTTCCCTGTAATAACATCACAACTGTAGTTCAATGGCCTTTGAATAACCGATGGTGATACCTGGACAAGAAAATCCTGCTATTTGCTAACCAGTAATTAATAATTATTATTAATATCTATAAAACTATATACATTTGAAGAGGTTGACACAGTGGCTCAGCGGTTAGCACTACTGCCTCACAGTGCTATGGACCCAGGTTCAATTCCAGCCTTGGGTGACTGTTTGTCTGGTGTTTGTATATTGTCCCCATGTCTGTGTAGGTTTCTGCTGGGTGCCCCAGTTTCCTTCCACTGTTCAAAGATGTGCAGGTTACATGGATTAACCATGCTAAATTGCCCATAGTGTCAGGGGATGTGTTGATTAGCCATGGGAATTACAGGGATAGGGTAGGGAGATGCATATAGGTGGGATGTTCTTCAGAGAGTCAGTGTGGATTTGTTGGGCTAAATGGCCTGTTTCCACACTGTAGGGATTCTGTAAAACTGACATTCTCCAATTTGGCACAAAGTAAGTTTTCTTTTCAAACATGCAGGTTTGACAAGTGTAACCTGGGCAATGAATTATATGTTATAAATTTTAAAGTTCTTTATTTGTTTGTCACATATAATCTAAGTTGTTGAAATACATTTACTTTATCATTTCAGCCTGGCTGAGTGTCAGATTTCAAGAACGTCTAGACAGTCAGAGATCCTTGGGAGATGGACACAGTCACGGAAGTACGAACAGATGGTAACTCTCTGTTGAAAGCTGTCTACCTGAGTAGACTGCGCCTCACGAGATTACTGCTCGAAGGCGGGGCTTACATCAATGAAAGCAATGAACATGGCGAAACCCCTCTAATGATTGCTTGCAAGACAAAACATGTGGACCAACAAAGCATCAGCAAAGTGAAAATGGTGAAATATCTTTTGGAAAACCAGGCAGATCCTAATATTCAGGACAAATCAGGAAAGACTGCTTTAATGCACGCATGCATAGAGCAGGCTGGTGCAGAGGTCATAGCATTGCTACTCGAAAGTGGAGCTGACCCAAGTTTGGAAGATCATTCAGGTGGTTCTGCTTTGGTTTATTCAGTAAATTCTGAAGACAAGGAAGCCCTCAAGGTACTGCTGGATGCCTGTAAAGCAAAAGGAAAAGAAGTAATTATCATCACAATGGACAAGTCATCCTCAGGCAGGCAGATGACTAAGCAGTATCTAAATGTACCCCCTTCTCCGGACATTGAAGATCGACATTCACCAATCCCTTGCACCTCACCCTCCGATATTGAGCTGAAAACATCACCACCTCCCCTAACAAACAATATAGTGAAAGATAAGCAGGTTTTTAACTTTAGAGATCCAGTTCACCTCTTCAGTGACAAAGATTCCTCTGATTTAGCTTCTCCAAATAGGAAGTCTAGCCAGCCACGACATGATGACAAGTTTCCCCAGTTGCAAAGGTTGAACTCTGAACCCTGGTTGACTATGCCTCCTTCACTCTCATCTCAGCACAAAACATCTTCATTTCATGAAGAAGTTCAAAACCTGACCACAGAAGAAAACCTCTCCCTGAAAATCAATGGCTTAACTCTACCCAAGCGATTCTTTACCAGGCATCAGAGTATTGATGTCAAAGAGACTGCAGCCCTGTTAAGAACCTTAGATCAAGCATCAGCTTTAACTGCTCCAAGGAAATTTTCCTGTGATGAAATACACTCTCAACCTCTTCAACCAGGCCTGAGTTGTAATAACACAATTCCTGTGGACCAGGATCCAGATTCAATACAAACAATTTCTGTTTCAAGTTTACAGAGTATTGTCCAGAAAAGAAACTTGGGTCTTGATCACTATAATTCTGACTCACAACTCACAATCTGTTCCAAGCAAACAGTCACAGATGAAAGCAAAATATTGCCAGAGCGGAAGAAAATAGTGTCTTCTCCATTATCAGTGCTAACCAGTTCAAGAGAGTCTCTGGACAATTTGCCAACTGGCTCTCTGAGCACTGCTGGCAAGAAACATGCTGAGTTTCTAGAGAGGCGAGGTTCAGGGACCCTGCCCTTAAACCAGATTTCACAAACAAGACCAGGCTACCTCCCACCTTTAAACGTAAATCCCCATCGACCAGTTCCTGATATGGCACCCAACAACCAAGAAACTGCATCATTTTCCAATGCCACAAAGCCTCTAATACCGTTGGCTCCAAACACTCAAAAACGAACAGATGTCAAAACTAAAAAGATGTTGTTCAGGAGACATTCCGTCCAAGTAGAGCAAATGAAACAGCTGGCAAATTTTGAGGATATTTTTGGACAGTGAAGGCTTTTGCACCAGAATAGCTAGTAGATGACCAAGGGACGCACTCAGATTTTGGAAAGAAATATATTAGTCTTCACAGGTTTTGTTGAATTAATATCTAAAATTTGTTAATATCTAAAACTTGTTGATATCGTGAAATAACGGTAACTCAAATTTCAGAATTTCAGAATCCCCTTCCCCTCCCCCATTTCTGAAGAAGGGTCCAGACCCAAAATGTTGACCAACCCCCCCACCCTAAATCCCGATCTACACTCACCTTTACTGGCTCCATCCCCCGCCTCCTTGACCTGTCCGTCTCCTCTCCACCTATCTGCTCCTTTATCCGTCTTCCATCCACATCCCCTCTCTCTCTATTTATTTCAGAATCCCCTTCCCCGCCCCCAATTCTGAAGAAGGATCCAGACCCGAAACGTTGATGCTGCTTGGCCTGCTGTGTTCATCCAGCTCTACACCTTGTTATCTTGGTAACTCAAATGATGCTCATTTCCAGACACTCAGTATCATCAAACACCACTTTCCAGCAATAGAGCGCACCAAAATTAGTTAATCAATTAATTCAATCTCAACAATAAATCATAAAACTACAGTTTGAAAGAATGATGCATATATGTAGAATCATTAGGAGCAACAGCAAAATGGGAGTCAGATGAGAGATCATGGTACAGCATCAGAACCACATGATAATGGCTGCTTGTTAAGTCCTATTCCTCTGTATGATTATGAGTATTTCCTCTGGTTATAAAGTTTGATTAGCAAACATTATAGTAGCTGTAACTACTGTGTAGCTGCACAACAGAACTACTTGTCAAAGTTCATATTCTTTCAGATTATGTCTTATTAATCAAATCAACTTAAGTGTGCTCAGTAGACTTTATGGAAAATTGATGAGAGAAAAACATGTGGTACCTAAGAAATGTCAAACAGTGCATTAAATTTTAAAGTTCTACAACGATTCTCTAGTTGTTAACATTTCTGAGGTAGTCACATCTTAATGGATGTATTTTAACCTTTTAATGGTTAAAGAAACTTACCTTTCCTGAAACTCATTGAACCCATTGCCAGGGAAACTGTAACCTGTGTGGCTGACACTCTGACCAGCTCTATCCTAAAATATTAGTGTTGTAGAAGTCTATGGCACAGAAAAACACCCTTTCGCCCATTGGATCTGTGCCAGTCAAATGCAACCACCCAACTATTATAATCCTATTTCCCACACTTGGCCAATAGCCTTGTATGCTTTGGTATTGCAAGTTAATTATAATCCTAAGTAACCCCTTGGACCTTGATTTGCTATTGGATTGACCCTGTTGCCTGAAAGAGGGCATCCAATTGTAAAGACCCATGAAATTGTGGTTGTGTATTGAATCCACAGAGAAGGCCACCAACCCCATATTGAAGCCAATTTCATGAGGAAAAAATCAGCATCTTTTTGTTTATTCATTATGAGGTTTGAAACTAGAATGCATGATTAATTATGTCAAAGTCTAAGTCAAGTTTGGAAGTTTGTATAATTTGTTTCTGCATCTTCAAAAACATGGATAAGCTCTGCATTTCTTGTGCTTATACTTTTGCAAACATCGTAACCCTGAGATTCTCAATTTTTCGTGAAGGAGAATGACTTATGAAAACACAACTGTGTTGGCAGTCACTTCGAACGGGGCAATATTGTCCCTTATGTATTTATTTGGAAATAATAACAACAGAAATAACATCTCCCTCCCAAAGCAATACTTAGAAACTGATGGATTTAATCGTTGACTGTGACAGGTGCAGTCAATTTACATCTCATAAATATGTTTATATAAGTGAATCACATTTTCTGTGTTGTTATTTGAGGGATAAGTAATTGGGTTTGATTTTAAGCTTGTCCGCCAGCCAGAAATGGATAGAATCCAAATGACTGTAATTTTTACACTTTATCCATTGTTACTCTCACAACTTGAATGGAAAGTGAAGCCAGAAAAGGAGTAAACGTGAAATCCAATCTATTTCCATTGGCTTCTCATTGAGTGGTTTAGGTTAAAATTACCATATTCCTTTATAAGAAAATAGGAGTTTGCAGGGTGCAAAAATAATCAAGTGGGTCGGGTAACGAATTGTTTCCCTCATTCTAACATAAAACATTGGCTCTGAATCTCCTCATTGTCTTTCATTTATGTTGTTGTTATGCCTTTAATGTGCTCCTTCCGCCTCCTGGATTTAGTATTATCATATTAAAAATGCAAAAGGAACACTACAATAACAAAATTTTCAGGCTGTTTCTTGGAACTTTACTGTCCCAGCTGCCATCCAGACTTCTATGTCTGTTTTTTTTTACTAATTAATTACAAACATCAATTGGTTCCTGAATGGAACACTCCAATCTAATGGCAGAGGAGGAGTGACAGTGAGATACATCATTCAATAACAAAAGGTAAGAAAAGAATTAACTGGACTTCAATGGCTCCCTCAATGCCATGTATTCTAGATGACAAGCCATTTACAATCACCAAGAGTTGTTGAAGAATGAGATTGCTCTAAACAATAGGTTTCTCTTTCAATGGAGATGCATCTGGCCCAGGCTCATTGTGAAGCCATGGGTGAGAAGTTCTTTTCTTTAAATTTAGCCTATTTTTCTAATCAGCCTTTTCAGAGTGTTATTACACACCTCTGGAGCAAGTGGGACTTGAAGCTGGGCCTCTTGGTCCAGAGATAAGGATACTACCACAGCATTGAAAAAGCCTGAGAAACTCATTCCCTGAAGTTTAATTGTCAACAGACATAACATTAATTGCTCTGATTCAATTCCATTTCATTTTCCACAGAGAAAAGGCACCTGACCATCATATACAATGTGTTAATTAAATCATACAGGCCATTTGTCTCACAATGCAGGTGCCAGTTCTTTAAAATGGTCTGATTATCTTGCTGAGGTGACCTTTGACCTTGAAGCAGTATGTACGGGGTTCCTGATTTATGAAAGTCCGACTTCCAATGTTCTCAAATGTGATCCCATGCAGTGATGTAATTTTAAAGATCTGTCATATGAACATTTCGTGTACTTACAAACAGGTACTTCATATTGTCCTGCATTGTGTTTTGACTTGCGCACAAATCAACTTGTGAACAGACTCAAGAATGAAACCCATTTGCAACTGGACCCTGCTTGTAGTCAGAACATTCATAATTTCATAAACATTTACCGATTCCATAGACATTTTAATAAGTGTGTTTGGAAAGGACTGTTCAGACTTTGCATCAATTGAAATATTCTTGGACAATAAGAAATACTGGCCTGTGTCACCTGTGACCCATAACCTGGAAGTAATATCTACAGGGAGAACGTTAACAGACAATAGGTGTATGACTGACAGAAAAAAAGGGAGAGTCATAAGCAGAGGAACTGAAGGATCAAGGCACAGATGCAAACAAAAAGAGAAGGCAAATGGGGTTGGAAAGAGGAACAAAGCAAATTCTTGTGAGAAGAAGCAGCAAATCACTGAAGAACAGATTTGATTTTCAATTTGAGAGAAAATGAGACAGGGGCTCTTGGAGACAATGTGCCAGGTGCTTAAAAGAGTAAAACCTAGAAAACCATGTGAATAGTTTGGAGAGACTAATGAGCTGGGTATTTCTCATAAGTGTCCAAACAGTGAATCGGGAGTTATTGACTGGTCAGTTGAGAAGAAACTCTGGAAGGCTACATCATTAGAACTGTCACGAACCAAGGGGAGGGAATTTATAAAAGTGTGTGCCCTCCAGATGATAGTTGTACCTGTGAAACTTGGAGGTGAAAGCTGTGGTCAGTTGGATTCAGCCTGTCATGCATGATTAAAGAAAAGTATATTACAGAATTATGTAGCTGCATAATGCCATATGTCTGTAGGAAGTGATGTGAGTCATTGTGTCTGTGAAAGACATATCTTTGTTCCATTAACTCTAAGTGAAACTTACCTTTTAATTTGAAACATAATTTGTCTGTCAAGCCATGTTTAATTTACACTGGTTTTGATTCATGTTAAAGTAAAAGCTACAAAAAATGGAATCTTGTTGGTAATTTCTTTATTTAGTGACTTCAGTAAATTTGGTTAAAGGTACCCAGAGAAATTGTAACAATGTCACTGGCTCCTTCCCTACAGCTCTGTAATGGTTTTGTCCTTTTAGGTATTTATCCAGTTTTCTTTTGTAAGTCACTTTGGAACCTGCTGCCTTTTTTTTAGGCCATGTGTTCAAGCTCAAAACATCTCACCTTGTAACATTCATGGTCTTTACTGGGCTCTCTGACCTAAACCGTTGAATTACCCTGGGATTGGGGATGGTCAATGTCATGTCTCTGATGTCTGTTCACCAAAGTGCATCATACGAAATATAGAAAAAGCATTTTATGCACAGCAAAACCTGGTCGTGAGACTTGAACACCAATATCATCATAATGTTGCACGAGGTGAAGCAGTAGTAAGACAGTCATGATTGCATCAAAATGTAACAAGTAGGTGCAGGAGTAACATCACATATAGTCCCTGCAGCCTACTCTTCAAATAATGAAATACTTCAGCCATGCACAACGCACATAACATTTGGTTTTCTACCCTAATCTGTAACCAACATTTATCCTTCAGCCAACATCACTCTGATAGGTTACCATGTAATTTATCTCATTGTTGACTTTGGTCTGCACAAATTGATTGCACTATTCCTTTATGTATCAACAAGACTACACTTCAAAACAATTTAATTGTCTGAGAAATGTCATGGAGATGATAAACTTGTAAATAGCATGATATAGCTGCATGTCTGGTCTGTCACCCTCCTCTTTCCCATCTCCTGCTGGTGTTCAGCATTACTAAGTTTTCTTTAAAAAAATCACTTATGGGAATTGGGTGATGCTGTCTAGGCCAGTATTTATTGTACACCACTAATTACCTTGGAAAAAGTGGTGGTGAGCTGCTTTCTAGTAACACTGCAGTCCTTGAGGAGTAGGAACACCCACAGTGCTGTTAGAAAGGGAGTTCTAGGATTTT